TTTTGTAATGTTCTAATGTTTTTTTATTTTATTATGCTCTTATTTTGGGTATGTAAATATGTAATACTTGAAAGACAGATGCGTTTTTATGTTTTGAATGTGATAATATGATATGTATATACTTATTTAGTATTATGTTTTTCATTTGATTATTTATTGGTTTAAAATATATTTTCCTTAAAGGCTAACGGGTCGGGTCATCTTACCTGTTAATATTATCGGGTCGATTTTGGGTCAGGTCATTTTACCCGTTTATTTTAACGGGTTTTACACGACACGATCCGTTAAGATATTGGGTATGACACGAAAACGACACGAACACAGAAAACACAACACGAATACCAGGTCTAGATACGACTGAAAATACATATATTTTTGAACCAAGATGATCAAATCTGGAAAAAAAGAAAAAGAAAAAAGGAATACCTCCTCAAAGAGACCCTATAAGCATTTAAATCATGGTCTAACGGATGACCCTCAGTGTGATGACCCGTCCCTAATTCTATGATTTTATAAATTTTAAAAGTGTGATTCGACGAAAATGCCTTTAAAGGTAAGGATTTTGACTTCCGTTGACTATTGTTTAGAAAAACGTATGACTCATTCTTTTACAGTATTCTCCAAGTACTTGACAGTATGAAAGCGTAGGCGCAAGAGGAATCGAAATCAGAGTTACGGTTAAAATTTTACGAAACATCGAATACCGAGGGTAGATTGGTAATTTCATGATCAGAGATATTTTGTTTTGTGCTGTGAGACATGTGGGGCCCACGCCACATTCCTTCACCACCCTTGTGTCTCCCTATCTCTCGGGACATACTCTTTCTTTCTCTCTCTCATTTTTATTTCAACTTTCCCTCACATCACTTCTCCACCATTCTTTGGCTGCCACCTTACCTTTCCCTCTAACCCTCTCAGCTCTCTCTCCTCTCCTGACTCTCTTGCTCTCCCTCTCGAACTCCCTTGCTGCAACCACTGGACAGAAGGAGTAAGCTAACCATAGTGACAATCACAGCCATTTCATGGTGGAAAAATGTGCAACCACCATCGTCCTCGCAGCGGGCAACCATCACCACCCTCACCTGCCATTTTTCACGGCCACTTTCCACTGTGTACCACCAAGGTAAGTTTGGAATTCCCCAACCTCAAATCCTTTTCATTTTGAACTCCTGATGATGTGAAATATTCTAACACTCAAATTAAAACCCTATGATTGTAGTATATGAAAGTAGGGATTGTTTTAGGCCGGGGATTAGAAGGGCTGCTAATCAACACAAATAAGACTCAAAAACACTAAACTAGACTCTATAAACTTAAAACTGACTTAAATGACTCAAAACAACAACAAACAATAAAAAAGACTCAATTCTAGACCTAACAAGTGATTTAGATGAAAATAAACTTAACTTGACTCAAAAGATTAAAAGAAAACAGATTATGACTCAACTAACAAGACTTAATGAAAGGGGGATTGTTTTTGACGAATTTAAAACTTAAAATAGAAACTTTGCATAAAACACTTTATAAAGACAAATTTGGTGAATTGAAAAGGGTTAAAGGATAGTTAGAGGGTCATTCTCCACACATGATATATGAATACAAACCAATTTCCAATATTGTTTCTTTAACTATGAATGACAACACCCCAAGTTAACCGTGACAACACAAATTAACCTTCGGATTTTCCTTATTTCATTGAATTGGACGGGATACGCATCACAACCAAATTATCCTTCTTAAGTCCCCTAACTATGAAAAGCATGATAGAAAACATATCAAAGGTCATTAAGTTCTTTAAAAATCATAAGCATTGATGAGACATTCATAACTATGAAAAGCATGATACTCCTGCCAAATATTTACTTAACACAATCATAACTAGTGACTTCCACTAATTGTGAATATAAGTTCATAACGATTTGGTGAAACTCCCTTATACTCTAGCATCAAGTTCATGCATGCAAACTAAGTATGCATCCTCAATCAACATACATAAACAAGTTTTGATAATTTAGATAAGCAAATCACATTCAAGACTCAAGAAACAATAACTGGATGTAATCAATTCATATAAAGCATATAATCATGGCTTTGAATTCACCTCTAACTAATAAGAAATTAGTTCCTCATGTCTTTGAAAACATAAAACCAAATTAAAACAAACATTGAACTAAAACTAAAGACGTCCAGCAATCCAAGCTTGAATGGCAGGCATGGCTCCAAGGGTCTCCTCTCATTCCTTCCTTGCAAATTTGCGCACAAGTATGTATTTTCTTATTTTTTTTGGCTCTTGTATCTGTATTCCATGAAATTGTGGTGATAAATATGTATTTATAGGCCTAGGGTACATCACAAAGGTTGTAGAGGAGAAGGATTTGCATAGCAGATTCTTAGGGGGAAAAGAATTAATGTGTCTAGATGGATTAGGACTCCTAAATTCAGATGGGAAGGATTTAGAATAGGATAATGACTCCTTTTGCAGTTGGAGATAAGTTTAGATAATGTTGGATTAAATAGGATAATGTTTGGATAATATGGGATAAGATAAGATAAGACTAGATAAGTAAGGTTTGTTGAGGATAAGGTTTTATAAGATAAGGTTTGATAAGATAAGGTTGATTTGGATAATATTCCTTCCTTTTAGCTGATTCTTTATCTTCTTTGTCTTAAATTAATTTCTTCAACTCTTTAACACATTCCTAGCCTCTCTTGAACTTCAAATTCGTCCATTCCTTGTGCTCCATATGGAAGTTATCCATTCCAGCCCAAAACTGCTAAAAAATGCTCCAAAATGCACTTTCTTGCCAACTTTGCCATTTGGACCTACAAACACACGAAAATAGATTAAATAACTATAATAAATAGAAACTAACTATGAAAATGCAAGAAAACAAGCTAACTATGTTGCATAAATATGTTCCTATCACTTGACAATGTTTTAAACCTTAAATAGAATATTTATGGGTGATTTAATGCAAATTGCATCTCGGGGAAGAATTTCCCCACATTTCTAGAAATGAACCATGGCCATCTGACCATTTTCAGATCAATTTCCTAGCCAACATTGACCACTATTGGCCTTCCAATAGGTATAGATTGATTCCCTACACTTCTAGCTTCACTTGGGTTTTTGTATCATTGAATTTGGTTAAGTATTGAGTTAGAAATTAGCTCTAGAATTTAGGAAGAAAACCTACAAAACTGCAGGAACTCACGAGAAAGGCGAGTACAATCGTACTCGCAGGCGCGTGAGGGAGCCAGTGTGGTGGCGCGTGCAATGCGAGGAGGAGCTCAAGGTCCCTCCTTAGGTTTCTCGAAGTGTCGGACTCGAATCCGCCCTCCGTTTTACGAAATTCGACCGTTTTAAAATAGTTTCTTTATTAGCCATACTTTGTACGAAAACGCGTTTATACGTTAGCACGTTACGTATTTACATAAATGGTTTCATTTCTAGGCGAAACGCATCAAAAGGACTCTTGATGCTATGAGGTGGGTTCGACTCGATGACATGAAATGTGAGTGGTTCTTTTCTTTGACATACAATATATATATATATTGGTTAGTTTCCATATATACTTTTATAAATAAATTCTCTACGTGATTGCCATGATTAAAATGACGTTTATAAGAAATGCCTTATGGTTGGGAAAGTATGAAATAATCCTACAGGATGCTTAGGTAAGCTTTCCTATAAGGGGATGCCTTAATTATATTTATATTCATGAATAATGTGATGTGAACTAGAGTTATCGAATCACTGTGGCATGACTACTTTTATGTTATCTGCTCATTATTTGCTGCACTAGTGTTAGTAGTCGCTCGGAACAAGGCCAAGCTTTCACGTGTATGTGCACATCGCACTGTACCCTCACTTTGGATCCATTGTAGGTGCCAATCATGTCCTAGATTGCTATAGGCAATTGGGACTTGTATGTGCTGCGCATACCGCTAGTCTTCACGTGATTGTAATACTAAAGCGTATGTCATTGTTACACTTAGTCATGTTCATGTCATATTACCTCTGCATGAACTCGTGTGTCAGCACGTGTCAATGAGCACTCGATGTGATATGTTCATTTACGTGAAAATATGTGATTACGGATGTCAAGTATTTATTTACCAAAGTTGTGACGTTTGGCATCATTGAAATACTGTTGGCTACGGTAAACATTTTTATACTATACGTAGTATGTATAATTTGAAAACTATACTTGTTTTACGGCGAGGGGTTATAAAGTTTTCAAAAAGGTTTTTATAAACCTTTATTTTTAGGCCCACTCACCATTGTTTTTTGCCCTTCTAGGTTTTAGTAGCTGAGCTTTCGTATGAACGAGGATTCGTGGCAATTCTTGGTATTGGAGATTACCTTCGATGGTATCATTCTCATCTTACTCTACTGTACTTTACTTATGCTCTAACATCACGTGTGAAATGAGTTCATTCCCGCTCACTAGCGCACTCTTATATTTAGGCACTTTTAGGTTTAAATTTTCTCACATTTTCCACATTAATACACATTATGGCTTTGTCACCCTCCAGGTGTCGGCCAGCACAACTCGATTCGGAGTCCAAGTAGACATTCCGATTCGGGGTGTGACTCAGTACTGGAATAATCTAAAGCTTCATCAATATAAATAGCCACTCTTAAAAGCATGGTCCACTCAATGGTTTGATTCTCCCTTTATGAAAAAGTAGAGACCAAAAATTTAATCTTCGACAAATGAAGCCACTAATTCTCAATTTGGAGGAACATAACTCAAACATTGAATTGATTCCTTATGCAAATCTTGAGAAATTAGCAGTACGAAGACAAGCACAGTACATCTACACTAGATAGAAGACTATACTAAAAAGTAAAAACCACGCCCCGCCACGACTTCTCCAAACGAAAGGCAATGTTAAACATCATATAGGGTTAGCAATACTACCAGGTAAGATTAATGGCCTAACCATTTCTTGTTATAGAAAACTAATGTCAGTGCCATCTTGCATTTCATTGATTGTCTAAATACTATATATTCAGAGGTAATTCACAAATGGGTCATCCAGAAACCTAAGCTAAAAAATAGCATTCTTGATACAACAGCTCAAGCCCAAAGACGAAAAAGAAAAGAAAAAAAGGTTGGATTTTGTTTGACATACAGTGGACAAATGCTTAGCTAAAGCCCATCACGACAATACCCAATCAAATACGCAAGTCGCCGATGCCGCAGCTTCCCACCAAGCTTCCTCCTGCAAAACCATAACCCAAGAATTATTTCACACACCCAATTCACATAACGATTGAAACCCACAAAAAATAAAACCAAAAACTCAAAAACCCAAATGGAGCAAAAGCACAAAAAACCAAGCTCACCGCTTCGTATCAGGCCACGCCATTTCAAACAAATTTCAGACGGCTGCGAAGCGAGACTCGATGGGGTGGGTCTTTGGGGAAATTCGAAGTATACGGGCAATATAACAATCTTCTCCTCCGCCAAGGGTATCTGCGAATGTAGAACTTCGTGGTGAATCTGATTCAAGTCACGTTCGGCATTGAAATAGGAATGGCGCTGATGGTGGACTCGAGCTTCGTGGTGAACCGGATCCATTTTACAGTATTATACGGGTCCTGAAGGCCCGCCTCCTCCAACCCTTTACCCAGCTCTCGCTCTTTCCCTCTTTGAGGCGCGCAAATGCCCTTGTTGAAGCTACTCTCTCCCTCCAAAAGAACCCATCCAGTGAACAAAAAATAAACTGTACAGAAATACCGTGTACTCATCAAATCATAGACGTCAAATCGTCGTTTGCACGCAAGGTCTGCACTTAAAAGTCCGCACCTTTGAAACGCCTAATATTTCATCAACTTTTTACTAAGATAGTAAGCAATGATCACGGGTGGTGCATACAACTTTAGGTGAAATTAATAACCCATGCTCGACCTAAAAAATAGTCCATACAAAAAGCAAAGTAAAATAAAAAGAACAAATATCCGTTTTAGCCTCATACACACCAATGTGTAGTTCAGATTGTTATTTTGGTTTGCTTTATTCAAATTGATGGGTGTCAATGCAAATTCCTGCCGTCATTTGCTTTGACGAAAATGTACACGCAAAACAATCAACACATCAATGACCAAAAGCCTTATACGCCCATGATGAGTGGATGGTTTTGGCCAATGGATTTTTGATGCCTAAGTTAGTAATTGAAGAGAGTGAGTGTTTAGGGTTTTCTGTATGGCAAAAAGCTTACCGAATTTTGGTGGAGAAATAAGGTATTTATATAGAGAGTGGCTGGCCCTAGGTTGGATTTTTGTGAGAATATTCCCAAGATATTGTGTAAGTTAATGCCCTTGACTTCTCCCATGTGAAGACAAGCTTTGAGTAGTCGTAGTCCCCTGCCTGCATGTCTAGGGATGCTGAGCTGTGCGTGGGGAATATAAATATGCCCTGCCCATTTAATGAGGGCAATCTTGTCTTTCTTGGCTAAAAGTCCACTTGATGCCTCCAGAATTTTGTGGATTATTTTTCGCTCCACAATGGGCAAAAAAAAATAAAAAAAAATGAGCATGTCAAAGGCTGTAAAAAGTGTACAAAAATCATTTACGCGAAAATATGTGATTACGAACGTCAAGTATTTGTTTACGAAAGTTGTGACGTTTGGCATCCTTGAAATACTACTGGCTACGGTAAGCATTTTTATACTATACGTATGTATAATTTGAAAACTATACTTGTTTTACGGCAAGGGGTTATAAAGTTTTCAAAAAGGTTTTTATAAAGCTTTATTTTTAGGCCCACTCACCCTTGTTTTTCGCCCCTCTAGGTTTTAGTAGCTGAGCTTTTGTATCAACGAGGATTCGTGGCAAATCTTGGTATTGGAGATTACCTTCGATGGTATCATTCTCATCCTACTCTACTGTGCTTTACTTATGCTCTGACATCACATGTGAAATGGGTTCATTCCCGCCCACCAACACACTCTTATATTTAGGCACTTTTAGGTTTAAATTTTGATGCAGGGTGCAGCAGATAGAAATGAAATAAAATGACAAATAGGATTGATAGGTAGTGTCCATTATCTCCTAGTCCGAGGAGAGGCCTGAAAACCCTATAAACTTTTGTTCTAGTACCAGCCTACAACGTAAACACTAGAAATAACAAAGCAGCAGACTCTTACAAAGAGAAAGGCATAAATATGAGATAGAAATCTCTTTGAATATTTCATTCACCAACAAAAACGTTCAACTACCTCAACCTACAGAAAGAGATTGTTTTTATAACCATTTTGTAACTTACATTCAAAAATTGAAAGACAATATGATTAAATTGACATAAAACTGAATTAAAGTCACATAAAACTGAAAATCACATAACTAAAGTAATGCTATCAGCCATAAAACATCTTGGAAGTAAACTAATAAGCCAATATATATTAAACCACCCTCTTTATTCCAGCAAATAAATTTATCTTCCAATAATTTATTGTGCTCCATGCTAAATGAATCTTTATTTCCCATCCTGCATCATTCTCCCTTTCTCAACTTGTCCTTGAGTTTTGTTTGTAAGAACAAGTATCCAAACCACAAAGTGCTGCAACCATTTTGCCTTGCCATGCTTTATTTTCTTTTTCACACTTACAAATAGATTATTTGCATAGAATATATAGAGGTTAGACATCTCTTGGAATCGAACTATAGTGTTAGGATATGAACAAAATGCATCAATATTCAAAACTTTAAACAAATCAATCCTTTCAATCAACCTCTTGTTGATGGAAACATGTATACAATCCAACCAAACTAGATCATGGAATTGAAACTTAGCAAAAGTTTCCACCACCTCTGTCAAAATGATTGTGTTCATTTGTTTTCTTTTGTGTTCAATTTTGAATTAAAAAAATAGATTGTTGTCATCATGAATATCCTTGATAGAATTCAAATGCATCTCTTGATTATCCACTCCACCTGCTGAGAAAACTCTTGGCCACCAGTACCGTCATCAATTGTAGGATCATCAACAACATCACCATACATAAAATTATAATGACATATACCACAACAAATTTCACAAGAACCATCTAAACAAAGATCAAAATTTGGAGGAAGGTCAAGATTTAGGAATCTGTCACCTGAAAAATCTGAAGCACTTGTTTCTTGGAGAACATAGAACATATGCTTCCTTAAATACTGACTGCAACGACATGTTTTAGTAAAATGAGAATATTTTGTACAAATAACGGATTGGAAACTGCTTGAAGATTTGGAAACTAGACTGGAAAGGCTTTCCAATGATATATGGCTTGATGGTCAAGTAATTTTTAATGAACTCGAAACCTTGCCCGTAACTCAGATGATAACTGGTTTCGCGCAGCACCAACGTTTTGTGGTGTTTTGCTAATATCAGTTCACAAAAAACTCTGTTTGATGCAAAGTTTGTTGCATTGGAATTTAGACTCCCTGAGCCTTTCGATGATGTATAATTCTCAAAATAAAAGTAAAGGAAACTGAACCAGATTTGACGACCAACATAGATGATGTGCCAGTTTGAAGAACGTCTCAAGCTCTGATAACCAACTAATGTAAGGCACAGCGGTTAGAAACGAAATAAAATGATAGATAAGATTGATAGGTAGGTCCACTATCCCCTTATGCGAGGAGATGCCTGAAAACCTTATAAACTTTGGTTCTAGTACCAGCCTACAACGTAGACACTAGAAAAAACAAAGCAACATACTTTTAAACAAGAGGAAGGCACATAAAAACGAGTTTACAACTCAAATATCAATATGATAATTCAAACAACTTCCTTCCCTTTTCTTTACAAATACATGAATTTATAGATGCTTAAACCCCCTTTTAATAATTATTGATACACATAGTTTATGCATCATTACTAGAATTAATGAACTCATTAGTATTAACACGACTTAATCTAGCCCACTAAATATAATTATTACATAAGATTCATTACTTCAGAACCCTTGTATTCCATGTATATCGGCTGAATTTCAAAAGCCAAATGTATTGAATCTTTCGATGATCTTATTTCATGTCTTGGATCATTCTCACCAGGTCGGAGAGAATTCGTCCTCGAATTCAAATCACCATCAGCTTTGGAGACAAATATTGATATCTTCCACTCCAAACAAATAGATACATTGAATAAATGATAAACTTTGAATAGCATAAAATATGCTCCACAGCCAAGGTCTTGATATGGACGTCTTCCCAATAAATCTTCATTTGATTAGCTGTATTTGCAAAGTTCCTTGCAGTACTTGAATTGAAATTACCAACTTCAATCAAATCAACATATTCAGAAGTATCAGTCTCCAAAATATAAATTGTGTCATGTGGTTGGACCAGTGTTAAGGTTTCATAGAGAATTAAAAGATCATGACAAACAAATATTTTGGAAGCTTTGACAATGAATTCCATATTCTCCTCTTTTGAGTTGTAGTCTTTCTCTCTCTCTTTTTGTCTTAAAATTGAAGTTGCGTTACAGATTTCACAATCATCAAAACAAAGATCAGACAATGGAGGAAGATCAAAATTTAAAGAATTATCACGTGAAGAATTTTCACACATGAAACATTGACGTGGTAGAAACTAACACACAAATTAAACCCTATAAATTATGTAATCGTAGTATGAGTAAGTAGGGACCTTTCTATTTCGGGGATTAGAAGGGATGCTAATCAACACAAATGAAACTTAAAAATTGAAAACTAAACTAGACTAACACAAAATAAGAACTGAGGGGGGGGGGTTTTGGACGATTTTTAACAAAAATAAAGTAAATTGCAGTAAACAAATTGAGTTGTGAAGGAAATGTGGGTGTAAAGCTAGCTAGAGGATTCTACTCCACACATGAAACATATGCATACAAATCGATTTCAAGTTATTCTTTCTATAAACCATGAATGACAATGCCCCAAATTAATTGTGAATAGCACTAATTAATTCTCATATTTTCCTAAGTTCATTGAATTGGACTCAGCGATGCAACCAAATTATTCTTCTCAAGTTCCCTAACTATGAAAAACATGATAGAGACACATATCAAAGGTCATTAAGTTCTGTGAAAATCATAAGCATTGATAAGGCATTCGTAACTATGAAAAGCATGATACTAATGCCATGGATTTACTTAACTTAATCATGACTAGTGACTTTTACTACTTATAAATATAAGTTCATAACGATTAGGTGAAATTCCCTTATATTCTAGCATCAAATCCTTGCATGCAAACTAAGTATGCATCCTTAATAAACATACAAGAATAAGTTCTCTATAAAACATATAAGTAAATCGCATTCATGTTTTACGAAACAATAACTGGATTTAATCAGTTCATATAAAACATATGATCATGGCTTTGAATTCACCTCTAGCTAAGAAGAAATTTAGTTACACATGTTCATCATAATTGAAAAGCAATCTAAAATAAACATTGAAACTAAACAAGCATAGAAAGAACTCTGAAAATCTCCAATGGTTGAATACAATATGCAGCACACTCCTTCTTCACTGATCCTTGCAGGTTGCGGCACAAGTTTTGAATAAGGCATGCGGCACAAGACTTCTCCCTCCAATTACTACGGCAGAAATACATATATATAGGGTAGGGTTCGGCAGAAACCAAGGAGAAAAAGGATTAGGGTGTTTGAATGGATTGGGACTCCTATAATCAGATAGGAAGTATTTAGAATAGGATAAGGACTTCTTTTGCAACTGGAGATAATATGAGATAATGTTGTATAAAATGGGATAATGTTTGGATAAGGTTAGATAAGATAAGGTAAACTTGATAAG